CACCTAAGGCACAATTAAATGCAGCTGCCCTTCAGTTTGCCCCCATTTTCCAGATTTCCAGAACACACAAATCTCCCCAGAGTAAGCAAGGGCCCTGAAGACAAGCCCCCAAAGAGTCCAAACTGGCCACTAAGCGTCTTTCTCTATCCCAGCACAGAAGGGCATTCTCAGCAAAGGTCTGGATTTCTCCAAGCAGCCAGAGAAACAGAAGGGGACAGAGGCGGGCAGGATAACGTTAACAGGCAGAAACCTGAAATCTCCAGCCATTCCTGCACATTGTATTTTCCAATATGAGGCTTTAACTGGTGATATTCTGAAAACATGATAAATTCAGGTCCTGCTACACATGTGACATCTACTTCAGTATTTTTCAAACTTGGGTCAAGCCAGCCAGCTGTGAAATCCATTTAATTTGCAACCCCCTCCTTTTAAAAAAAAAATAAAATACCTCCCACAACAGTACATCACGAGTAGGGAGGATCAGAAATGTTTTTTTCTGAAACTTTGGTTTCGGCCCTTGATGTGAACTACATCTCTTACGTGGGTCACAATCCAGGGAAGTTTAAAGATGACTGATAAAATTGTGCAATAGAAGTTTATAAACCAAAACCGAATTCTTTTTAAATTACAATTTACGTCAACAAAAGCGGCCTGCAACTGAAACATGCTTTTTTCATCTGGATTAAATGGGACGGAACAACAAAGGCTCAGTCAAGGCTAGGAAGCACTCAGAGCCCCCCATCACCCTTATTTCTTTATGTCTGTTTGTGGTTACAACTTTCAGTTCATCATTTCCTCCGTGCTAGTATTTTTTTCCCCAGGTGAAGATGAAACTGGAGCGTGGGAGGGAAAAAGGGACAGGCCACGGCCACCCTGACTAGACATTAAAAATGATAACTCACGGCCTCCCTGGTGGCGCAAGGGGCTAAGCACCGCACTATGAAGCAGTCCGCAGCCTCTGCAGCACGAGTTCGATCCCCGGTTGGCCAGGGAGCTACCCACATGGCGCGGCAGACCTCTCCTGACTCGCCTGCTGCTCCCCTCAGCAGTGTGTTTCAGTCAGTCTGTTCTGCTCCCCACTCTGTCTCTGGTGAGTTCTCTCACTCCCCACACCTCTGGCCTGTACCCCAGTTCTTGTATGCATAAATAAGTCTTTTTTTTTTTTTAAAGATTTATTTATTCATTTATACAAGCACTGGGTACAGTCAGAAGCGCGGGAGGGCGAGAGAATTCACCAGAGCCAGAGCGGGGAGCAGAGCAGGCAGAAGGACCGAAGGACACTGCTGAGGGGAGCAGCGGGCGGCAGGAGAGGTCTGCGCGCCATGCGGGACCCTCCTCCGGTGGCCAGGGAGCAGCCAGGGATCGAACAGGCGCTGCAGAGGCTGCAGGCAGCTTCGCAACCCAGTGCTCAACCGCTGCGCCACCGGGGAGGCCCCCATAAGTCTTAAAAAAAAAAAAAAAAAAAAGATAACTCATTCAATTCGGAGTCCAGGGCCTGACACAAGAATAAGCACTAATAGCTGCTGAAGGAGTAAATACAGTATTGATCCTCTATTTCTAATTTCTTTAACAAACCCGAGTTGCAATGAAATAAACTTTGACGTCTGCAGAAGTTATGACTTAAAGCATCTGGAAAGCCGGCAGGAAAGATCTGACTTGAAATCCCAAATCGGCCACATAATGCACTATCTCATCTTGGACAGTTCAATCAATTAGTCTTTTGCCTTCCACATCAACAAAAAAATATTTTAAAAAAAGTGCCCATCCCTCAAGCCGTACCAGTAAGAAATCAAGAGGCGTAAAACAATTTGCAAGAATTGAGAAACAGTGTTTATACCAAAATGCTCTTTCATTATAATTTTTTTAAGCATCTTGGCCTTGGCTGATCCTAGTGCCTGAATCCACTCTCCTATCTTTCTGGAATTCTTAAGCCAATCCCCTAATAAATCCTGGTCAGGAGAAAGGGTAGGCGGGGAAGGGGGAAGACAATGATGCACCAGCACAGGGCAAGAGGTTAGTGCTTCCCTCCTCCAGTTCTATCCACCAGCACAGCTAAAGGCAGGTGTGCCTTTAATTTAATCCTCAACAACAACTCTGAGGAAAGCCTGCCTGGGCAGCACAGCTGCTAATTCAAAGGAGAAAATAAATGTGCTTGTTGTTTTTCTTTGGGGGGGGGGAGGGAAAGGAAAGGAAAGGAAAGGAATGTTCTTCCCAAATGGCACAGTAAAAACAGTTACCATGCAGAATGTAGATGTACCAGCAACTGAAAATGGGGTGGCTTCTCCCAAATAAAAATGTATTGGCTTCCAAACTGAGGATGCAAAATAAAAACATCACTCACTACCTAGGAAATTCACTCTATTGGGGAGGCAAAGTTACTCAAGAGAATTAAGCTTCTTTTCCCAAGATTTAGCCCTTTGCGCTCCGCTGTCCCCTCTCAGGGGACATCGGAATTCTAGCATATCACTCGGATGTCCCCTCTCAGGGGACATTGCAATTTATTAGTGATTACGGGGAACTGAGGTTATTTCAACGCAACTTTTTGAGACATGCATGTTTCCCTGAAGTTTTATCTTGAAATGGCACAAGAAAAATTAAATCAAAATATCGTAAAATGGTTCGGAGTGCAAAGGGTTAGATTTTAGCTCAGGCTGTCCAAGAGGACAAAACCTCTGGGACTGACTTCAGGGCACAGCCAGCACAACCTCTTCAAAGTGACGGGCCTTCCACAAAGGCCCAGTCCCTCCAGGGTCCATTCCAAGTAATGCATCTTTGCAGCAATGCAGCCTGATGAACAGGGCAGGACACCCCGTCCAGAGGAAACACGCATTAGATGCATTTCTTTTATCACGGGAAGAGGTTCTTCTTGCTCCACCAGTCAGAAATAATTATAATTTCTCACCCAATTCACCCAGCCTTCCTGCCTCTAAATTCAAACGAAACCAACCCAAAGCAGGGGCTTTAGGAAAGACCAAGAAGTCACATCTGGTGTTTAACCTGGCAGGGGTCAGAAGCTCGGGTGGCAAAGTTTTTTCAATGGGATTCAGGGGCGGTTTCTCTTAAGACACTTACCCTAACTACTCCTCCCTCAAAAAAACAAAAGCAAAACCCCAGACAACTCGGGCAACTCTGCCTTCCCACTTTCCAAGATTTCCAACCTGAACAATGAAATGCAGGTTGATCCTTAAGGTTCACGAGCGAGAGAAAGATCCAGCTGCCAGGCAGGGGGTGACCGGGCCGGGTCAGGACACAGAACCTCGCAGCCCTCCAGAGCCCGCAAGAAGAGATAAGGGGCCCCTAAGACAACAAACACCCCACTTGGACATTCAAGCAGTTTTCTTACAGTTTTGCTAACAGGCTTCTGAGCTAAACTGGGAGCGTAAAACTTTGCAGGCACAGCCCCAGCGCGGCGCGAGGCGGGAACCTGGCCCTTGTGCCCTCACCTCTGCCCGCACGACAGCGGCCGCTCCCCGAGGACGGCGCTTTCCTTTTCAAACCGCTCCCGAGGCCGGTCCCCAAGGGCGGAAAACTTCAACGCGCTCGCGACTGGAAACCCAACTCGGCCCCTGCTCCCTCCCCCGAAGAAGTGCCCAGCAGGCCCCGAGGCCACCCCGTCCCCACGCAGCGGCGCCTCCGGAGCAGCCGGGCTCGAGGGCCGGGCGTCCGCCGAGCCTCCCCGCGGGGCCGGCGGGCGCGCACCTTCCCCGCGGCGGCACCAGGAGGAAGCGCGCGCCGGCCCTTCCTCCGCCCCGCCGGCCGGGAGGAGTCGGGGCGCGCCCGGGGCCCCCCTCCGCCTCCCAAGTTCACCGGCCGCTCGCCGGGGGCCCCGGGTCCCGCCGGCCGCTCGCCAGGCCCGGGCCGGGGCCTCCAAGGGCATGTCCGCGCCCCGCTAGTCCGCGGGGATGCGGCGCGCGCGGGGCCTGCGCCCCGGCGGGGAGCGGGGAGCGCGCGGGGCGGCCGGCACCCCGCTCCCTCCCCCGGGAGGCCGCGGCGACGCCGGGGCGCGGGCGAGGGCCGCCCCGGAGCGCAGCCCGGGTCCGGCAGCCACCCCGAGCCCGGGCCGCGGCGAGCGCGCGGGGGTGCCCGGGGAGCCCGGCGCTGGCGCGACCCCGAGACGGCGCCGAGGGCGGGGGCCGTGTTTACACCGCCGCGCGCCCCCTCGGCCCGGCGCGCGCCCCCTCCCCGGCCGGCCCGCGCCCCCTCCCCGGCCGGCCCGCGCCCCCTCCCCGGCCCGCGCCCCCTCCCCGGCGCGCGCCCTACCTGCATGCCCGGCAGGCCCGCCTGCACCGGGGAGTGAGCCATGGCGGCGGGCGGCCCTTCCTGGGGCGGGACGGCCGGCCGCGGCCAGGCGCGCGGGCGAGCAGGCCCGGCCGGGCCCGACCCCAGCCGCGCGGGTCCCGGGCCGGGCGGCTCAGCGGCGCGCGGCGGGCCGCGTCTCCATGCAGGGCGCGCGGGCGCGCGGGCGCGGGGCCTGGGCGAGCCGCTGCCGGGGCCGCCGCTGCGCGTCGCCTGCTCTCCGGAGCCGGGCCTGGCCGCGCGCTGCCGCCGGAGCCGAGTGGGCGCGCAGCCGGCCGAGCCCGCGAGTGCCCCGCGCCGCGCGCACCCCGCCCCGCCCCGGCCCGGCCCCCGCGCCCGCCCCCGCGGCCCGGCCGGGGACCCCGCCCCGCGCTTCCGGGAGGGGGAGGGGAGGGGCCGCCCGGCGCCCTAGGCCGCGCCGCCCCGCGCGGGGGCCCGAGCGCCCCCCGTCCCCACCCCGCGCGGCCGGCGGGCGCGGAGCCGGGCTGGGCGCGGGCGCGGAGGGGCCTCGGCCCGGGCGCGCCTGGCGCGGAGCGGGAGGAGCCGGGCCGGAGCCGGGGCGCGGCCGAGGGCCCCCGGCGGGTCGGGCACCTCGGGGCCGGGGCGGCGGCGGGGCGGGCGCGCCCACGCCCGAGCTGCCTCCCCGCGGGCCCCCCTCGCCCTGTGCCCGGGCCCCGGCTGCGGCGACTCCTGGGCCCGGCCTGGGCAGGGAACGGTCCGGGGCCTGGGCCGCCGCGGAGCCGCCGGGCGGAGCTTTGGTGTCGGGCGAAGTTTCTCACCAGCCCCAGGAGGAGACCGAGGAGCGAGGCCGCGCCCTGGGCACTCCCGGGGCTTTGGCGACCTGAAAGCAGCCCCGCCGGGAATTCCTAACTTAGCTGAGCGGCGAGGGGGCTGCGCCCCGCCAGCTCCAGGCTCCGGGCGGAGGTGGGAGCACCTCCTCTGCGCGCAGGGGGGATGCCCGGGAGGGCGAGACAATGGCAGGAAGCCGTGGCGCTCCCAGCTCTCTCCCTTTCTTTGGGGGGCTCCTGCAGAAGCCCCAGGGCCTCCTCAGCCCCGGCTCTGTCTCCGCTTTGTGGTCACCTGCTCTCCAGCGACAGAGTTAAGAAAGTCGAAGGTAAGAAATTCGGATCAATGCTGCTACAGAAAGTTTTTTATTTGCATGACAGTGGCAGCCACTGCAGTGATCCATGCATCTGAGCAGGTTGGGAACCTGCCCCCGAATCACCCTCGCCCCTGCCCCTGGGTGTCCGCCCAGGTTGCACCATGGACAGGCAAAAATGAGCCCCCGAGAGTTCAGACTACTGGAGGAACCCCTGTGCGTTCTCCACCAGGTAAGGGGTGTTGATTCTCTGAGTCACTGTATGCTTCGCATGCCAGTGCTCTCTGGTGATCTGCACGGGGCCCGGGCTGAAGCAGAAGCCCTGCTTTTTCCCTTTGGAAATAACCCTGTTCTTTCCTTGCATTCCAGGAGCCCCACCCTCACCCCAGGGAAAGTGGCAGATACAAAGTAAAGAGACCCATGAACCCTGACACCTAGGAGCTTACCATCTAGTGTAAATTTTGTGACCCTGAAAAACATCCACAGAAAACCAGGCAAGAACATGAGACTTGAAAATGTTGAGACACTTCAACGGGGCATTAGAGTAAAACATCCAAGAAGTGCATGAGGCTGTATATAAAAAGATACAGTAAAGTGATGTTTATAATTGCAGGGAAACTGGGAACAGATTAAACGTCTTGATTGTTAAGTAAATGATAGTACTCCATGGTCATTAAAAATTGTAATGTATTCGGTATGAAGAACAAAAATATTTTAATTATATATTGTTTTTAAAAAGCAAAGTGCCAGAACTACATACAGTCTGATCTCAGCCTACTGCATATATATGAAATGATGTTTAAATAGGTACAGCCGTATGTGTAGGTGCATAAGGAGAAAAATCTGGATGTGGATACACCAAGATTTAGCAGTGACTCTCCTTGGGATTAAAGGTGTTGGTTTTTCTTTTCAGTCAGTAGCCATCCAGTGGAAATCGTCTGCCAAGAAATCACCTCTTAGGGTCAGCAGTCAACACAATGATGTGGCAACAAGATAAGAAAGAAGAAACTAGACATGTGGAAAGAAATGTTAGGGCACTGAGCTGAGACCTTGCCAGGAAACAAAAAGCTCTAGGGCCCATGGGCAGTGGGTTAATTTCCAACAAATAAGATAGGGGTGAGGGCCTCCCGGTGGCCTCGGGGTTAAGTCTCAGCACTACCACCCAGAAGATGGCCTGCGTTCAATCCCCAGCCAGGGAGCTAACACACCTGGCCCAGCAGACCTCTGCTGTCTCGCCCGCTGCTTCCCTCAGCAGTGTATTTCAGTCAGTCTGCCTGTTCTGTTCCCCGCTCTGTCTCTGATGAATCCTCTCATCCCCTGCTCTTGATCCCTCTTACCTGAGCCTCAGTTCTACGCAAAAAATAAATAAATAAAATCTATAAATAAATAAGATAGGGGCAGCCTTGTCTCATAAACACTTGGGTATAAGAAGTCATCTGAGGGCCTCCCTGGTGGCGCAGGGGTTAAAGTCTCAGCACTATCAAGCTATGGCCAGCCACTGCACTGCCGCAGGAGTTCGATCCCCAACCAGGGAGCTGACCCACATGGCAGAGCAGATGTCTCCTGTCTCACCCCCTGCTCCTCTCAGCGGTGTGTTTCAGGAGATCTACCTGTTCTTGTCCCCACTCTGTGTCTGATGAATCTTCTCACCCCCCTCCCCGCACCTCTGGCCTGAACCCCAGTTCTTGTATGCATAAATAAATAAAATAAATCTTTTTTTTTTTTTTAAGTCATCAGAATCCCATTGTGAATCCAGAGGCCAGGGGAGTTGAGAACTGGTAGGTTTCCAGTGACTTGCACTCATTAACTGGTCGAAGTTGCTAAACCTGCTTATCTCCTCACCAGAAAAAACTTTGTTTCCTCCCTTAACCATACTTCTACAATGGAGCACCATTTTCCTTGAAAGAGAGGAGGCAAAAACAGGAGCTACTGGTTGGCTCGATCATAGGCAGACACACCCCCAGGGTCCCTCTCCCTCTTAGCAGCAGGAGGTGACTGACTGGCCTGAGCACAGGAGGAGTGCCAGCTCTGTGGCCCACTGCATTCTTTTAGTAATTAACACATACTTTGAATGCCAGCTACTGTCAGACACCTGCCTCAGCGCTGAGCACAGAAACACTGGATCCTCGGGGCACCTTATCCCATCCTAGCCACCTGAATCCAAACTTTTGGATTTATGTACAGTCCCACTACTAAATAAATTTAGATTCACGGTAGCTATAATTTCCATTAAGAAGAGGACGCTTCTCTATCCTCGTCCTCTTATCACGTTCCCTCCACCCTCAACTTATAATTACAACATGTCATATACTGTTGTAATTTCAGATGGTGAGATTTTGAGGGTCTCCATAGCAATTATGCCTTTTCTGGTCTCCATGGCGATACCAACTAACCCACTGAATTATTTTCATCCCCTGGCCCTCTTTGTCTTTTGCATTGACTTAGGGATAAAAATTGGACAATAGTGTGCTCTGACATATATTTAGGACCACAAAGAACATTTCCACGCCCCTAGAAAGAGCCCCTCTAAATATAGAGCCCTTGTGTCTGTGGACTTCCCCAAGCCAGTTGGCAGGGCTGGGTGCAGCCGAAAACAAGAATTCAACAATCAGTCCCTTCACTTCTCCTTCTGAGTTGAAAAGAGAAACACCCCCCAAATGCCACTTTGTAAAGAACAGCCAGACAAGTAGCACATTAGCAATTTAAATTTACCGATTAAAGCCTGGGACTCACATGGTGAACTTTACAGACAGAAATATGAGTAGCATGGATAACTGACAGGAGGTGTAACTAATTTCTACACATGCTCATCAGGTGAAGGCACAAAAGAAAAAGAATAAAGATCCAGGTCTTCATGGCCTGGCCGCCACCGCCAGAAAATGGATTCTAAAACGGAAGGGAAAGACGCAGCTACATCGGGGAAGAGCGCCAACTTAGTTGCCTTCTGTGGGTGTGAAGTTCAGAGGGCAGGCTGCCCGGGATGTCGCTTGGGTCAGCTTGTGCTTGTACCCTGAATTCATCCACTAGGGCTGTCCCAGCGACATGCTGGGGTGCTGGGTGGCTTACCTACCAGAAATGTGTTTCCTCATAGTTCTGGGGCCATAAACCTAAGAGCAAGTCATCAGCAGGATTGGGTTGGGCTTTTATTGTTTTACAGTCTCTCTCCTTGGGTTGCAGATGCCACCTGCTCCCCGTGTCTTCACAAGGCCTCCCTCTGTGTGTGGGGGGTCGGGTGGGGGGCTTCTTACAAGGACATCCATCAGAATGAATGAGGGACCACGTTAATGACCTCATTTTAACTTAATTGCCCCTTTAATGATCCTATCTCTAAATATGGAGATACTGAAAGTCAGGACTTCAACGTAGGAATTGGGGTGGAGATAAGGATACAATCTGGCCTGGACACAGCCTTTTATATATGGGTTACATGCAAAGCTCAGCCCGTTTTATCTGGTGCCTTCAGGCTGCAGCTCCATGAGCTTCCTTCTCCCGCTCCCAAGGTCCATGGCCCTTGTAACACACTTCACACTTCTGCTAACAAGCATTGCTTCATACTTCCTCGGGCGTAGTCCCTGAACTTGATTCCTATAGAAACCAGAACACTGTCCAATCACTGGCCAGCTGAGAGCAGAGTAAGGAGCAGAAGCAGGTATGTGCTGGGAAGATATTTCTAATTAGAAGAGATCATTTGCAATGCATAGTAAAATCTGCCAGAAAAGAGTTCAGAATTTTTTGCATGGAGTACTTTCAAAATAATAAATGCACATTTCAGCCAAAGGGTTATGTTCTAAGAAAGTCTGTTCCCCCTAGTTCCTCCTTTGCCCCTGAGTATCACTGCACCTGGAGATGCAGTTTACCCAGAGGGTTGGGGTCTGGGACCCCAGTTGGATAGGGAGCTTTTTGTTTTGCACCCTTGGCCTGGCAGGGCAATGGGTTCTAGCTAGGGAGTTTAGGTTGTTTAGAAAGGCCACTAGCACAAGCTCACTAGAAATTTCCTCATGTGCAGTATTGCCTGGCAATATTCCAGTGAACAGGGCTTGCTGCCCTCTGAGCAGTGGCCACTTGACCCTGCCAATCACCTTACAAAGGCTTCAGTCTACAAAGACTCATGCAGCCCTGTGTGTGTGCATTTTCCTTCCTCGTGAGAGGGTTTGCCTTCAGATGTATCCAGCAAGGGCATAAAGGAAATCATCCCCAGAAGGGTGATGTCATCACTTGACAGTCACAGAACCACAATTCTGTTTCTTAAAAACCCTTGGCCCTGTTTTCTGACAGGCGAGGCAAATGGGAGAAAATTATTTTAAATTTCACTTCAAGGAGATTTAGGGAATTATGTGCTGAAGGAACATCATCTAACTATACCAGGTAAAAATGGGCCTCTGAGCTGCAGGCATGGTTCCAGAATGTCTATAACCAAGAATGCCTGGAATCCTCCTGAAAATACCAATCATCACAGCTTTGCCTGCAGAAGAGATAAGCACATAGTCTCATACCTTGGTTTTCCAGCCTAGTTTTTTATTTGGTTTCTTAAAAAAGCCATGTTAGTAATATTATTCCTCAGAGCTCTTTAAATAACAAGTGACATAAACCTAGCTTGAATCCCTCACCCCAGCACAAAAAGGAAATTTTACCTCAGTAAAATTTAGGCTGGGTTAAAGCTGGCTTGAATAAATCCAGGAGGGTGAATTTAATGATAAAATCAGAACTCTGTCCTGCACCCCTGCTAAGCCTCTGCTTGGCTTCTTCCTCATGTGTTCTGTGTGGCGTCAAATGTCACTCTATACGGTGCTGTAATCCTAGAGAGAAGAGAGTGACTTTCTCTTACCCAGCACCCCTATACCAAATCTAGGGGAGGAACTCAGATTTGTGTATGTGCAATCTTGTGGCCCGAGGGCAAGACCCACAGGGATGGAATCATCCAATCCAGAGAGCGTACAACATGGGGGGACAGTTCTCCAATCAACGACTCCTGGCCTGACACAGGAGTGACCACCCCTTGGTTGCCCAGCACATGTGGATGCCTACACACATGTGTACATAAATGTACACTTGTGCACACACTTGTCTTTTTCCTCATGTATCATATCTAGTGTGTATCCCCCTCCCTACATGATACCCACACATAGGCACTCATTCTCCCAAAGCAAGTCAAGCGCAAGGGCCTTCTAGCCGGGTGAACAATTTCCTAATGTAGGGCCTCTAGACAATATGCATTCTCCATCAAGTCTAGATGTGACCTCTCACAGGCCTGCCGTCTATATCAACATGGTATATGTTATCACCCTTCATGTGTTTCATATATTTGGGGGGGGGAAATGTTTAATTAACCACCTTAAAAACTCTCATTTGAAAGGGAGATAAAGGGAAGTAAGCAGATATGTAGTATAAACCCTGACACTTGGCTTTCATTTTTGTAAAGCAAGTGCCTGAAGTAGGTTTCGATGCCTAGGCATCCGCCTCAGAGAGTGCTAGCTGGAATAAACACATTGCAGCACACGCTAGACACAGAAGCAGGCTGCCTCCCCCAGGAGGTCTTTTTTAAGTTTATTATTATTTTTTATTTTTTTTTTAAGATTTATTTTTATTTATTTATACAAGCACTGGGTACCATCAGAAGCGCGGGAGGGTGAGAGAATTCACCAGAGCCAGAGCGGGGAGCAGAGCAGGCAGAAGGACCGAAGTACACTGCTGAGGGGAGCAGCAGGCGGCAGGAGAGGTCTGCGCGCCATGTGGGACCCTCCTCCGGTGGCCGGGGAGCAGCCAGGGATCGAACTGGCACCTCAGAGGCAGCGGGCAGCTTCTCAACCCAGCGCTGAACCGCTGCGCCACCGGGGAGGCCCCCAGGAGGTCTTTTTATGGGTCCTCACTGATTGGTTGGGTCTAACTTGTGTCTCTTCCATTCCCCCT